GAACTATCGGCATAGCAGCAGTTATTAAAACACCCTTGAGGCAAATTTATCCCCTCCACCCCACCCTTGTTTCCTGGGTCGGAAATGACTCCAGGCTAGATTCTGCAAGAGCCGCGCCGCCCGTTTTTTAGGGGAAGGCGAGCTTCTGGCATAGGGCAGAGCATTTTGGGAAAAGGGACGCTTTCCCCCGCGCTGCGATGACCGCACGCTTTTCGCGCGCAGTTTGTGTCACCGTGGCTCCCAAATATCATCCTCCCTTCCCGCTTCCTCGCCCCCAGGCCCTGCCTGCCTGCCAACTAGCCAGCCAGCCCGGCTCCCTCCCCGAAGCCTCTCATCACTGCCAGGCACACAGGAAGCGAAGAGGCACCTGCAACTGCCGCCTTGGCCCCGAGAAAATTCCCAGAAGCCCTCGGGAAGCCTGGTGACATTTCATTCCCTGGAGCGAGCTATCCCGCCTTCTTCCCAGCCGCGGGGTGGGGTGGGGGGGGGAGGGCACCTCCTCCCGCCTCGACCTCCAAATTATGTGTCAGCAGCCTGAGGTGGCCGGGGAGGGGGAGAGGCCGGGAGGGGGGGGCGTCATTTTTCTGACGCTGCCTTGGCTTCCCTTCGCAAGACCGGCGGTCTCCGACTTGCGTGCGCGCGCGTGCGTGCCTTCGCGGAGGAGTCAGGGGTGGCAGCTCCGCTTGGTGCGAGTGCGAACTGGTGGCCAGCCTTGACTCAGCTGGATACAGGGGGGAAGGCGGCGGGTGTGTGTGTGTGTGGGGGGGGGGAACGACAGATCTTGTGCAACCATCTTCCCTTGTGGAGTCAGAGCTGCAGTTTCAAAGTCTCCGCAAACTTTCATTTGCTGGCCTCAAAACCACGCCGCGGCCAGGGAAAGGTGACTGGGCCAGCTACCTCGTCTTCTTTCAGGGACTCTCCTGGAGTGACTCAGGGACAGGATGGCACCCGGAGCAGTTTTGGCTTGGAGGCTTTCCTTTCTCTCTTTCTGCCCCGTTTCTTTTCCTTGAGAGGAGCACGACATCACACACACACTTGCCAAATCTGGGGCTTTGATCTTCAGCAGCTGCAGCTGCATTTTCTAAAGCTGTGTGTGTGTGCACGCGTTATGTTCAGTGCACAGAAACTGCCTTTATTATATACCACCCCATGGCTGGTGTGCAATATGTTCCAGTAAAAATAATGCACATCTTTATTAAATTTGGTGCATCCTGCTAATTCGGTACACAGCCTGTCAGTCAGGGTTACAACTTTTCCAGTCATTGTCTTTTTCACCCTTCAGATGACATCAATTAGAAAAAGAATATACCAGGAAGAATTCCTTGATTATGGGTTTACCCAAATTGACGACAAAGGAATAATGAAACCACAGTGTGTTGTTTGTTTGAAAGTACTGACTGCAGAATCTTTGAAAAAGAGTCAATTGAAGAAACACTTGGATAATTTGCACCCACATCTGGCTTCAAAACCACGGGAATATTTTGTCAATTTGGAAATGTCTGTCAAAAGACAAAGATTGGACAGCAGCTTTAGAGGTACATTCAGTCAATGTTCAGCATCCAAGGCTAGCTTTGAAGTGGCCTGGTTGATTGCCCGAAACAAAAAACCTTATACTATTGGTGAGGATTTGGTTAAACCAGCAGCTTTGAAAATGGCAGAGATTATGTGTGGTCAGAATGAAGCCAAGAAACTAAATTGTGTGCCCTTGTCTGCAAGAGTTGTTAAAGAAAGAGTTTCTATTTTAGCAAAAAATGTGAGGCAACAAGTTATTTCCTCAGTAAAAGAGAGTAAATACTTTGCTATTCAGCTAGATGAGACTACGGATGTTAGTAGTAATTCTCAGCTGATGGTATATGTCCGCTACAAAGGTTTACATTTAATTGAAGAGGAATTGTTGTTTTGTTCTCCTCTTGACTTGCGATCTCGTGGAATTGATATCTTCAATAAAGTTAATGAATACTTTAATGACGTCAATTTAAAGTGGGAAGACTGCCTTGCTGTGTCTGTTGATGGAGCTCCAGCTATGTTGGGTCATGTTAATGGTTTTGTGGCTTTTGTGAGAGAGAGAAACCCAAAAGTTGAAGTAAACCACTGTATTATCCATCGTCAGGCTCTGCTTGTGAAACATTTGGAACCTACATTAGAGGCCGTCATGCATGATGTTATGAAGATTGTCAATGTTGTCAAAGGACATGCACTAAACACGCGATTATTTCGTGAATTATGTAAAGCTGGTGATGCTGAATATACAGACCTACTTTATCATACTGAAGTGAGGTGGCTCTCACGTGGAAATGTTCTGAACCGAGTGTGGGCTCTCAAAACTGAACTTGAAAGTTTTATGGTTGAGAAAAAGCATGTTCTTGCAGAGAAGTTTACAAACCCCTTGTGGGTTGCACATCTTGCATATTTAGCAGATATGTTTGAGCATGTTAATGTATTGAACAAAGAATTGCAAGGAAAAAACATAAATATAATTTCAGCCAGAGAAAAGATTTCTGCATTTGGATCAAAGCTTTCATATTGGAGGCAAAAAGTTGAACAGAAAAAGATAGCTACCTTTTCAACGTTAGCTTTGTTCTTGGAAGATTGTGAAAATATTACTTTTGAAGACAAGGATACAGTTATAAGGCATCTTACTAAACTCAAAGAGCGGTTCTCTGATTACTTTCCAGATCTTGATTCACATGCTGTCAGTTGGATTGTAGACCCCTTTAAATGTGAAATTTGTGCTGTACCAGAAGAGCCTCAAGGGTTGGCAGAGTCACTTCTTGAGCTTCGATGCAGTAATGAAGCACAGATTGCATTTGAAAACAAAGCAGATCTTTCACATTTTTGGATGTCAACACCTGCAAAGGCCTTCAAAATTGCACATGAGGAAGCATTCAAAAAGTTGCTGCCTTTTGCAACAACCTACCTTTGCGAACAAGGATTTTCCACTCTTACGAACATAAAAACAAAGACAAGAAATCGATTGGACCCGGAAGACTGTATCCATATTGCTCTGACATCAAAATGTCCCAATATTGATGATCTCGTATCCAAGATGAAGCAACATCATTTCTCCAAAACCTGAAGTTTTCAAATAAGTTGAAGCTTTCAAAGTAATTTTAAATACAGTATTTGAATTCAAAATGTTATTGGATGTATGATTTCCTTACTTTCAAATCAAGGGGGTAACGTCTGCGTTTATAAATTTTTTGGGGGGTAAGAGGTAAAAAAGTTCCCTGACCCCTGGTCTAAGCGTTGCAATACTTTCCCTCTCAGGGAATATTTTAGGGTTTGTGAGTTTCCTTGGTATCTGTAATCACTGCTGGACAAATTTTTCTAGTGTGGGGAAATTTATTACGTGTCTTTTAACTTGACAGTGTGATTCCTGGTATACAGAAAATCTGGATACGTACATGGGGATGTTCCCATAATAGTTCAGATGGCGAATACATGGCTGGACAGCTAGCTGCTTATGGATACAGTATAACAGGTAAATGAGTTGAACATGTTATATTTCTTTCAAAGGTTTTATTTTCAAAATGAGATTTAAATATGCTGTTTTCTTTGTGTTTGCTCTTTATTTATATTCTTTTCAGGATGTAGATTCTTCTGTGCTTATTTAAAAATTAAATCAAAATAAAGCAGTGCCTTGAGTAATTGGAATCATTTTCATTGGTTAGCTAATACACATGTTGAGTAGTTCCGGTGGGGCAGATTTTGAGGTTTCCTTTATAAATCCCATTTCCAGTTGTTTATTTTAGTCACTCTATTACGTAGATCAAGTAGACTTGCTTAATTTACAGGTGTTATAGTAAAGTCTTATTGGAGAATACAAGCCTAGACTACTAAGGAAAATCTTAATGTCATAGACTGGATGGAAGGTTTGGGAAAAAAGGGAGGTTATCTATTCACTGATCCAACATGTATAATTTCCTGTTTAAATTTATTTTCAATATGTGTGAAATATTTTATTGCTGTTCCTATTTTTATATTTAAAACTTTTGGCTTCAAATCACAAGGGGGCTTCTAAGTGTTAAAAACATGAATTTTATACCTGCCTTGGCTTCCTAAGAGAAAATAAGGAGTTAAATGCATTACAGTAAATAAAATGTTACAAACAGCTGTTCATTAAGATTGCTTTGCAGACAGCTACATTCAGAATACAAAGTTGGATGTCAGGAAGATGTCAGGGTAGAGTTAAAGCATGCTTGCTTTCTCAGAAGGAGACTATAATGCATAAATAATGCCTCCCATAATTTCTACAATGTTTTTGCCATATATATCATTGAATTCCTAGCCATTGCCAATATTTGATATAACACTTTACATGCTGCATTTAAATATTATTTGAAGTTCCTTAATTTCCAACTATCATCAAAAATACTTTTTATCTATCCTGTTTCATGCTTTACAGATTTTAATTTGTGTTTTGACAACATAATTGTTTAATTTATAGATTTTTGTTTAAAAATGGCTGTTCACTAATAGGATAAAATAATGACAGTGAATAATAATTTTTGTATAATTGATGTATGTTTAACATACACTAGGTGGCAGTATTAAATAGCTTTTTGAGTTGACTTATTAAATTTTGAAATTAATCTGTCATGCTTTCTAATTATTTTTAAGCCATACTTATGATTTTGATCTATTTCTTCAGTTGAAATTGTAATTCAAAGAACTATTGATAGAATGGTATTAAATATTTTGGTCTTTGTTTAATTTTCTGGCTACAATAATGGAATTAATAGATTTCTGTCTATTTACTAATTGATAGATTATCAAAATCATATAGCTAACTTTTGGCATATTTATGGATTCAATGTTAAATTTTCTATTAAATTTTTTTAGCTCTTTGAATTTTAAATTCCAGATGCATATTTTTTAAAAATATGATTCTTCATTCTTAAACTTTTACCTACACAATATTTAAGATATTGGTTTTACATATGTCTTGTATAGTAATGCTTGTACTATACTGTTTGAAAAAGCTTAAAGATCTAAAATTTTGGTACTAATTGCTTTGTAAGTTTCAGAGCAGCACAATATAAATGATATTCATCAGAAGATATTGCAGTTATGTCTGTCTATCCGCCCGTCCATCCATCCAACCAACTATACATACATACATATATTTATATATACATGATCTATTATTAAAACAATGGCTTTATTGTAGCATATGATTTAAATTGGCAGTGATTGTTTGGATTTTTAAATACTGGTGGATATTGATTCAGAATGTACTTTTCTGTATTGTGGTGCTGAAAAGTGAAAATGTTTCGTGTGGCAGTCGACCGAAAAGATATTGGAAGTAAAAATATTAGTATTAAAAGACTCTTGTAGAAATCCATAGTGCAGTTTTAATTGGCCTCAAAAATAAGAATTCACGGTTGTAAGCTTACACAAAAGCTTACAGTCAAAAGAATTTTAAGAATCTTCTACAGTTTGGTCCATGACACTCAGCTTTTCGTTTAGTGACATTTAAAAGTTACAATGGCCCTGAAAAAAGTGACTTATGACACTTTTTCACCCTTACAAAACCCCTCAGTCACATGATCAAAATTCAGACATGTGACAACTGGCACGTATTATGAAGGTTGCAGTATCCTGGGGTCATATGATCCCCTTTTGCAATTTACTGAGAAGCAAAGTCAAAGGGAAGCCAGATTGACTGAACCGTAGTGTTACTCCCTTAACAAGTACCTTGGCAAGGAAGGTTGTAAAATGGGGCAAACCTCATTTAAAAAAGCAATAGCAATAGAAGTTCTGGGCTCAATTGTGACTGTAAGTCAATAACAGCAAATAGGTACTTTATAAAATGGTTTATAGAAAGAACGGAAGTTTTTTCTTTCTCAGTTGATTGGATCAGAACATTTTTAAAGAAATCATCAATGTGGAATAATCAGTTTATTTATGTTCTTAGGCATTTGTCCCCTACTCTCTCAGCAATCTGACACACTCATTTTTGGAGGCTTACAAATACAACAGAAACCAAATGCAAAAATTCAGAAAAGGCCTAAAAATTATAAAGCGTACAATAATAAACAAAAGAGCTGTCAATGACCCAAACACCTTCTTGAAGAACGTATCGTATGTAGCATAGGAGGATATCTAATCTCAAGCGGGAGACCATTCCAAAGGGCCTTGGACTGCCACAGGAAAACACACCCACCCACACCCAGACACCTGCATACACACTTACAAGCATTGTCTGTCTTGACCTCCAGAGTGTGGGGAACAGTCAATTGCCACCCAATCCTATGATAGTCAGAGATCATATATATATATATTTTAAAGGATGAGATAATTGAACTCTGCCACAATGCTTAAATTGTATCTTCGGGTTTGTTGGTAATATGCTTCTAAATGTTAATTGCTTGGTAGGAACAAACGATAAATGGATGTTAAGGTACTGCCGCTACTGGTAACTGAATGTTGACATTTTAACATAGGGCGTATCTGTGCAGTCTGTGGCCTACAAGGTATTGGTGAACTGCAGTTCATAGTATTAAATACTGACTATGCTAACTGGGCTTCTGGGAGTTGTAGATTACCAACTTTAAGTATAGTGTAATTTATGAATGCCATTGTGATTTGATCAACAACCACTGGTATGGTTCATACAGCATGCCAATTTAAAATTTGGCTTATTTGGTTTTGGTTGAGCATGTTATATAAATCCCGTCATTATGGTTTGGAACCACCAATCTGTGGCGTAGCGTGATAACTGAATCCAGCCAATGGTGGTTTAAACAACAAACCGTTAATATAACTTGTAAATCTAATTGTCATGTTGCTAGATGTAGATTTCAGATCAACACACATGGTTTGTATAATGTTTCAGTATCTTTCAGACATCCTCAGCTTAAACTTTTTATTGGTATCTAATTCAGAAAGTGAAGTATATCAAAACAAAGGTATGTTTCTATGCCTTCATTTTTGTTTTTGTTCTTTCAAATGTCTTCCCCTAGGAGCCTGCCAGAATTGATGTGGTAGATGCCATATTTCTGTCAAAGAATGTTCTTTATTTTATTTACTTCTTAACTTGTTCACCTAAGATGCATCTGGAGTCTTTCCCTCCTTCCTTAACATACAGATGGAAAGTCAGCTAAGTGCTATCGCAGAAGGACTGACTTGGATGTCTTCTCAAAGACTAAAATGGTTGAGCTGCCAACCTGAGATGAATGTAGTTTGAGATATGCAGTCAATGGCATGCTTGTGAATATTTTTTGGCATTTCTGGCCCATCACAATGAAACATTATTGGGTATAAAAGCAAAGGGAGAGACTCCCACTGAGTAGAAGACACTGACATTTGTCTTGCATGTCAAAATCCTTGGCGCTGGGATCTACTTACAATGCAGAGCAACTTTGTCTTGGATGATTATAAATAGCTTTTTGACTTCATCCAGCCAAAAGTGAATAGCTGTTGATTAGTAAAAGGTATTGCAATATAGAAGAGTGGGCCTTTTGGCTCAGCTTTAAATATATGACAGATTTCTTGGCTGCTTATATATTTGTAAGACTTTTCAGACCTTGAGAGTTCATTGGCTTTATTTCAGAGTGAAAAACATGCTTGCTCATTGGTTCTGTTTGCAAAACTGGGAAACTAAATTATTCTTCGATCTGCAAAAAGTAGCTCCTTATTGATGGGGTGGTATTGTTTTGTCCTTCACAAAGTACCTAAGATCTAATCTAACATGCAAAAAAAAAAAGAAAGGAATAGAATTTGCACTATATAGATGTGTAAGTTTTCCAAGTTTTAGTTACACGCTTGTCTTAATTGGTATGAATAGAAAAGAATATAACTTACTTTTAGAATAGATTTGGAGTTTTGGAAAGAGCTTTATAATTGGAAACTTCTGCTTGGTTGTATTGGATTAAGCTATACTGAATATTGTGACAGTTTAAGTCTGAATAAACATTCTATAAGAGATGAGTTTTTCACAATCTGAGTTGAGAATTTTCCTTATCTATGTACTTCTCTGTGCCAAACAGATTCAGAGTGGATCTAACAAATGTTTCAAAACAAAACATGAGAAAATATACCAGTAATAGAAACTTCAGGGAGATTTCGAAGACTTGCTTTCACATAAATCATAGTGTTCAACTATGGGAAACAAAGTATTTCCTATAATGTATTTTTCACACAAAACCATTGGAAAAAAAGGTATGTGAAAACATACCTGAAGAAATCAGATTTTAGTTTGTTTTGACTGAAAACTTCTCTAAGATAAGCATGAAAAGTCCGAGTTCCATGTCTTATACGACTAACCATTTCTATGGAAAGGACTTCATGCGCGTGGCATTTCATATTTCTCATTCATGTAGCTGATTAGCTCTTAGCAGACTGATGTGTTTTAGGACTAGGATGAATTCATATGTTTAACCATTATGGTAATAACAGAACGTGCTCAGAATACTGATGAGGGAACCCCTGTAGAAATAGCTTCTGTTTTGTAGTAGTCAGTAGACTTCTGGACCTAAT